TGACCAGTGATATGCTGGGGGAGGATAGGTTACCCTGGGGACAAAGTTCCATTTTCCCAGTTTTGCCCCTTGCGAGGCATCCGGGGCTTCCTGCCCTGGTGTTTTTGTATTCAAATTTCTGTACCTGGGATCCTTTACCTGGCCCATCTAACACAAATCATATATTCTCAAGTGTCCTTGGTTTAGGGAAGACAGGACTTACTAGGTGGCTGCAAACTGCTGTTTAACAATCTATCTCAGTTTCCCTGTTCTACTTGTCCTGGAATTTTCCTAGCTTCTTCTTACTCTGCTATAAGAAACTGGAGAACCAGGTAGTTCTGGAAAAGGGGAGTGAAGATTTTTTACTGTATATTATTTTGTACCATTTAACTTTCGGAGTGTGTTTATATGTATCACTCCAAAATAAAATTTTTTAGAATTATTTTTCAAAATAACCTTTTACTTTACAACAAAGCCTATCATATTCCAGTGAATAGTATATTGTCCTTGTGAATCTGCTTTGGCTTAAATGACGGTAATTCACTGGAAGAAGGCAGGTAACAGGGAAATAAAGCCAAAGACACAGAGAACCCTGCAAGTCGAAAATCAATTATAAAAAAACAGCAACAGTAGCAGCAGCAACAACACTATACACCTATGGAAATCAGTTTTCAAAAGACATGTTATGCTACTTTCCAGGATATCCATTTTAGAAAAAAATTGTATTTCAGGTTAAAGAATTATATTAACAGGCACATACATATTTCTTAACCTAATCAATTTCTAGCCTTATGCTTTATATATAAATTGCCGCTAGGGGGCAGTATGTTTTTACAAGGTGAAGAGCGGAAAGTCAAAACAGTACTATTGTTGTTTGCATTATTCTGCTAAAATTTGTTATTTAGTCAGAAATATTTTTTATTATGAACTCCATTTTGAGATAGTATGTGCTGAAGAATACTGAAAAAATAGCAAAACTTTATTAGACGAGTGAAATTCATTTTTCACAGACAAAAGATGGTAAGAGGTATTCTTTAACAAATTATTTTTGGTCAGTCTCTCAAGAACCAATATACATGAAAGTGTTTTGTTCTGTTTTGAAATCCTATGGGCAAATATTAGTGTAAACATTTTTCTCAGAGATAGAACGATTCTATTCATTTTTTGAACCTGCACTAAGGAAGCTAGGGAAAATAAGTCAGGACATTCTCAATTTGAATGTGAAGCTAAGTGCCCAACAAGCCTTAGTCTACTCCCAGGCTCATCATACATGCAGAACTATAAGCTTCATTTAATTACATAAACAAGAGAAAAGTAAGGGTGTTTTATTGCTTTAAGAAAAATCCTTTGGAATATTATTCAGCCTTTAAAAAGAATACTGCCATTTGAGATAACTTGGAGGTTCATTATGCTAAGTGAAATAAGCCAGACAGAAAGACAAATACAGCATGATCTCACTTATATGTGGAGTCTAAAATAGTCAAGGCAGAAGGTAGAATGGGTGGTTGCTAAGGACTGGGGGAGGCAGGAATAGGGAGATGTTGGTCAAGGAGTACAAAATTTCAGTTGTGTAAGATGAATAAATTCTGTAGATCTAATGTACAGCATTGTGACTCTAGTTAATAGTGCTGCACTGTATACTTGAAATTTGTGAAGAGGGGTAGATCTTAAATGTTTTCACCACACATGCACACACCCAAAAGAAAATAGTAACTATGAGTTGATGGATATATTAATTACCTTGATTGTGGTGATTATTTCACAGTATACATGTATATCAAGTTAGACACCTTAATGTATACAATTTTTGTCAATTATGCCTAGTAAAGCTGGGGGAGTAAAGTCCTTTCCATGAGAAGGGTGATATTGAAATTGCCCTTGAGGCAAACTGCTGAAGTCTGGAGTCTCCTGTCTGTAGAATCACATGCTTTTAACATACCACACAGTTCTTTTGAAGGGAAAAATACAAACTTTATCTATATAGAGAAAAGGGAGGGGTGATCTAAGAACTGATCATTAGCCAATTGAAGTTCATGTGGGAAAATACAGTTTCAAATATGCATGGCCTTTGAAAATACAAAACATATGTACTTCTTAAGAAAAATGTACAAAACAAACAAAAAACCAAAAAATAATTTTAAACCCCTTTGTAACCACGTAAGAGGTGAACTAAAGTGAAAGGTTGAAGTAGGTCTACAAAACAACCATTGGTTTTAAACATAGGATTTAGTCTAAAATCATTTAAATATGGTCTAAAAAACAAAATGCAACTTTGGAAAATTACTGAAATAAATGATACATAATGTACAAAATAAAATCCTTGCAATGTAAAGTAGGTCTCAGATACCAGATTATATTTTAAAAGAGGAAGGAAGATGAGAAAAAAGTAAAAATACTAAATTATTTTACAAAAGGAAGGAGTAAGCAGAAGTTTTATACTTTGTGTTGGTAGAAACAAATTATACTTTGATAGAGATTCTTGGGAAATTTAAGTAACCATAATAGAATTGATAGGGGCACTTAAAATGTCCAAAGATTGAGCATCTGAATTAATCTGAAATATAGTTATATTACTTATAGAATTGTAGAACACATATACTTATGGGAGCAGGAGTTTAAGTTTCTTTTTCCTAGGCCTTTACGCCCGTATATTCCCCTTGACTCCGGACAAAGCAATTAATGAGGTGACACAACTGTGGACAATGTATCCTTGAAGGGACATGGTCAAGCCAGCCCAATATCTTATTGAGACATAGGAGATGACCAAGAATAGCTGGTGCCTGCAGACCTCCTGGGCTGCACAATAGCTGCATTCAGTTCCCAGCCATGGTTCACCCCGTTTCCCTATATAGCCCCATCCCTCTGGCCATTCCTTAAGACAGGTTTTGGATGCTCTTATGCTGTCTTGTTGGTTGGTGGGCCTTCTCAATAATCGCCTTATGTGATTCAACCCTGCCTCCACTGAATGGGATACAGCCACAGGCAGCCCAAACCTCACCGAGGTTTCCCAGCAACAGAATGAAAATCAGAACGTATAATTTCTAAAGCATTAAGGGAAATAAAAACAGGTATGCAATAAATTTAATTTTCTTTCGATCAGTTTCATTTCTCTTCTGGTGCCCCAGTTCTGCATGGATGGTGGGCAATCTTATTCCCAGATTTTAAGGGTTGTTCTTCCTTAGCCTAATGTTGTGGCAAAAGTCTGAGAGGTTTATATAATCGTGCAAAGGCAGGCAATCTAGTGCCTGAGAGAGAAATCCATAGATGACTCCTGACATTAACCTTGTGTGCACGGCCTCTCCCGGCTTCCTGATCCCACATTTCACTCAGGGCACAGGAATTTTTCTGCGAATTTTCTGGGTGCTCATGCTGTCCTCCCAGGTTCGCTGCCAGCGGGGATGCTGTGGATCTTCTCCGTGGCCAAGCAAGTTAGCCCCTTCCTTCCTCACTTCCATCTTTCCGTAGCTAACAGCGGAGCCTGAAAACAAAGGGCGTTTGGCAGCTTCCCTGCACCAGCTCTGACCCTCTGTCGCACCACCGAAAACACGCAGCCCGTGCAACAGGCGTCCCGGGTCCCGCACTCGCTCC